GGAGGGCATGACATGTATCAGAGTAAAGGTGGTTAGGCACTTTCAAGATTAGTTAAGTACTGTATGTCATGGGTGAGATTGGTAACTGTTGGATTCACTGGCAATAAATGTGGGATTCTCTTTTTTTCACTAAGGCTAGGATCTAGATATTTTTGGAACTTCCTGGAGGTTTTCAACAGATTTCTAGGGTCATTGTTGGTACTTCCTACTGGAACTACATTTTGTTTATATGCATTTTTGTATACATTGTAGAATATTCAGATTTACCTTAATCTAATTTGAATGTGAATCACTACCAAACAAACAAACAAACAAACAAACAAACCCCTGACAAAGTCCAATCCAATATTGAACTGAGTTCAGAACTAATTCAGGAACTTAACGCAGGACTTAACTCAGAGGTTTTTTTTTTTTAAAAAAATAATATATTTGGAGGTGTTTGATTTCAAATCACTTTGGGGATTAAATTGGTAAACCTGAAAGGAAATTGTATTATCTGAATATTCCTTAATTCTGTGTCTATATGCATGTGAATATGGAGAGGTTCTGCCCAGAACTCTGATTGGACATTTAGCTAATGAGGACTCCCATGTAGGTACCGCTTCTAATTGGCCTTCTGGAGCAGGGTTTCTCAACTTTAGCACCTTTAGGATGAATGGAGTTCAACTCTCAAAATCCCCCAGCCAACATGCCCCTGCCTCTGCATGAGTGAAATGCTCTCCAATCGCTCTTTAACAAAAATCATGCCATTTTCACCTTCCCATCAGGAATCACAAATGCTACTCTGAGACAATGTCACATGCAACACCTACTTGAAAAATGTGCTAAGTGAAAGCTCCCTTCATAATTTAAACCACGCCAATGTGATATACTGCATGCTGGCTACCTCAAAAGCAGAGAGGATGCTGAAAGGTACGAGGTTCTACAATCTGTTTTATTTTTTATTTCTTAAACCAGGGGTCCCCAACCTTTTGGGCACCAGGGACCAGTTCCGTGGAGACAGGTTTTTCCACAGACTGGAGGGAGTGTGGTTTTGTGTGCTGCCTGCATCCCACGAATAGGGCTTTGCTTGTTTGTGCAGAATGGTTGCTGGTATGCCGCGGCTGGGTACTGGTCCATGGACTGGAGGTTGGGGATCCCTTCTCTTAAACAACCAATTTCAAACAATTCAAATGGAAAATTAAAAGCATCAATGAAAGCATATACCTCCACACTGTATAAAACATATGAGATAAAATAATAAAATAAATAGGAAGAAACATAACAGAGAATAAAAAAGTAGTATAATATTAAAAAATACCACAGCAGAATTAATACATCATTTAAAGATCTGGGGGCAGTAAAGTGCCTTTATCTGTTCTTGAGTGAGCCAGAATAGTGGTGTGGAAGAGTATATTCTATCTCAGTGTTTCTCTCTCTTTTTTTACATCATTTTTAAAATTGCATTTCATAATATAAAATACAAATGAAGATAAACACAGGAAGAAGATGGGGAAGGGAAAAGGAGAAAAGAAAAGTGTAAGTAAGGGAAAAAGTATTAACTTTCAAATTTTTTCAGTGCAAGAGAAAAGCACAGCCTCAACTTTTCACTTTTACATACTTAGTATATAAGCCATTTCTATAACAATAGACTTACCTAATCAGCAAATCCTGTTAAACTTTTATTTTTTTCCGTCTTGAGCACAAACTCAAGAAGTATTTTCAAATACAAACAAAACTAGATATATTCTTTTCATTGATTTCAATGATTCAAGCAGTTAATTTGGCCATCTTGGCAATGTAAATGTGTATAACTTATATCAGTTGTTTGGACTGCTCAGAAAACAACAGGCTTTGTTGTTTCCACCTAAAGTCTGAGCTAAAATTTAGCCATGCAAGGAAGGCAATTCAGTCAAAGGAACACCCAAATGTTCCTTAAACATTGCATGATTAGGACTGGAAATGATTGTGGTTGACATTTGAACTAAATGTAGAGATCCTTCTGTAGGATCTCTTATCAATTAGCTGCCACTGACATACAAAGGACATTTATATGTTGAAAACAGTAGGAAAGGTAGGAAACAGTGCCCTGCTGAAGAATCATGTTCTTGTCATTACATAAATGTGACAATCCCATAAAATGAAGTGGATTACAAATGCATTTATGTACATACATATGGAAATGTGGATATGCCCCAAAATGGGGAAAAAACCCAACTGTTGGGACTTCGTTGTGAAGTGTGATGATTGGGCAGGATAGATGCACATGTTTTGTTGGTCATTAGGTGTTTCTATTCTTGACCATGTCAGCAATGACACACTATGGCAGCAAACAGGCATTATGCCAATACGGAAGCAAATATACACATCCCAGGATAATGTTGTAGGATTCAATCTGGGTTGGTCACTGGGACCAGAGATTTAGTCATCTGAGCTTTTGGACTGGCCAATACTTGAGAAAATGTGGAAGAAACACCTACAGTGATATGGCTATATCCAATGAGCAGCACCATTTCCTACACACCATTGCCTTCCTTTCTTTCCACTTTAACACAGATTGCAAGCGCCAGTTGAAGACTGAAGTAAAGATGGCAAGACACAATAAATGCAAACATGCAAATTGTCCAGTTGGATCCAGATCCTGCATTTGATCGTGCAAGATGGTGTTCGTCAACCCAAAAGGTAGACCCTGCACCTGGGGGAATAACGTTAGGAAGATAATAATAATAATAATAATAATAATAATAATAATTAATAATTAATAATAATAATAAAGTTGGAAGGGACCTTGGAGGTCACCGAGTCCAACTCCCTGCTTAAGCAGGAAACCCTACACCATTTCGGACAGATGGCTATCCAGTCTCTGATGATGATTAGGTGGGATAGATTATAGAAAGAAAGGTAATATAAGTAGAGAGGTTAAAATATATTTGAATTTATAACTGCTGTATTTTTCACTGCTGTGAAAAATACCAGAAGCTTTTTATTTTTTTCCTTTCTTTTCCATTTTTCTTTAACCTTTTCTCCTTTTCTTGCATCTCTTGCATTTTCTCTGATTCCTTTCTTATTTTCTATTAGTTTGTGTTAACTTTATCTTCTGGCTTAAAGTTTTAATAAAATCACACACACACACACACAGACACACACACACAAAACTTCCATACAGATGCATAAATAAATGTGGATATGGTCCCATTCATATGTTTATCAGCTTTGAGCTGCAAAACAGCTAATTAGTATACAGAATCTGGCTGCAAATTAAATCCAGAACCATGAAAGGATAAAAATCATTAAAAAAAACCCAGCTTTGATCAACTGGCAGATGCAAAACAAGTTACTGTATTTAAACCTCAACAGTAAGATCGTGAATTCCTTTAATGAGCTGGCAGCTCCCAGCTTCTACTCAGTCCAAGTCTAATCATGCCATTTATACAAAAACCCTCCAATGCATTGGCTCTGGATTCTGCTTTGAACAATGAAACGGAATGTACAAATGAAATGGAAATACTAATACTACTAATAACAATTCAAACAAGAACATCTGCCTATCCCAGATCCTTGGGAAGGATTCAACGTGGAAAAATATGCCAAATCCAATTAAATATCAGGCCAATTGTATAACCAACTATAATAATAATAATAATAATAATAATAATAATAATAATAGATGAAAACCATCAGAAATCTCATAAAGTTACCAAGTTATATAAGATTTTAGTAATCTTTACATGTAGGGTTTCATATAAGAATGAAATCTCATGAGATCTGAGAGAGTTTTTTTTTTTTAAATTAAATGCTTAAAATTTGAATATTGCAGTACTGCTACTGACAGGGCACATTGCCATTTTTATTTGTTGATTTATCTGTGCTTTATGGTAGAAGGACACAGCTCATGAGTGCTTGGGAATTCTGCATCTCATTGAAAGGCATGTGGCAATTGGGGCACCCTTATCCAGCTTGGTGCCTCCAAATGTATTGGAGCACAGCTGTGAATTGTGGGAGTTTCCAGTGCCTTTAGAGAATACCAGATTGGGAATGCTGAACAAGGGGACAGAATTTGTAGGAAGGAGTAATGAATTTCTTCAATTAATTTACCATATCATACTTTCATTGGGTTTCTTTTTGTTATTCGTGTTTCTTTTGAGAACTTCCTTTGCTCTATATATCCCCAACATTCTTCTGATTTCTGCAGTGGAAGTCAAACTTGATGATTTAAATGCAGCCATTCTAATTACCTTAGAATGTGACACATTAGTGGCTTTGGAATCTGAGTAGGAAAAAAATGTAGACATTAAAAAATAGAACAAATGCCTCCTTAGGTAATTCTCAGAAAATAAACTGTTGAACTGAGAAAGTAAACTGGAATAACTGCTGAAATCTGCTCTATTCTGGTAGTGCTGCTGAAGAAAAGTAAATTCCCCATTATAAACTAGACAAATATAAAACAAACATATTCATTGTTTGTGGTAGTTATACAAAGTTTTCCACTGATTACAAACTGAATGGCACTGCAAACATCATATACGGCTATTCTATGCCTTTTCTTGTCTGGCATCTGAGAGCACCTGATAGGGGAAGGTTGATGATGCAGGCATCATATTTCTGCATCCAGACTAGTACTAGTTTATTTTTTCTCGCCTCCTTGGAAACAGCACCTTGTTCTAAGAAATGATACATAATTGTTGAAACTGGACTTGCTCAATCTTAGATGAGTGTGACTCCAAAGACTGACCAGACTAGCAAGGGACAGAAGGCCAGTAAGGTGTGGCTATTGGAGGCCACGGCAGGGAACAGATCAGGTGGGCAGACAGGTTGGATCACATTCTTCCAGGAAGTGGCTGCCTTGTTAAAAATTTATTTTGCATGCTCCTAGATTTTCACTGAAGCAAAACTGGAGCATTACAGATTGAAAACCACCTTCTTCCTTGGAGTTGAGGCAGGGGCCCTGCTTCAGTATGAGAAGAGCTGCTTCTGTGTTCTGTTGCTTTATCGTGCTTTCTCTAACACAGGGTAAGTTGGCCCTAGGTGTGTTTGTTTACTGGAATATTCTCTATTGGCCAAGAATGATTAGACAAACAATGAATTTGTATCCGGTGCATAAACTCTCAGTATGTGTATGTGTATAAGATCCTGTCTCTCTGAATTAAAGCAAGGAGGATGCTGATTTATAGTGGATATCTCAGAACAGGCCTCCTCCTGAGAAGGGACTCGGATTATAACAGTGCAATTCCTATACTTGAATTTTATTCTTAGAACTAAGAAGATGGAGTAAGAGCTAGTGATCAGATCATTTCTTCCACATCAGGCAGTATTTCTTTAGGAACACTTTGAACTTGCACATATATTATTAAGATGATTGCAAACCAGCTCAGAACTGTGGTCTAACAGTTGAAAGAAAAAGACAAGGATATCCATGGCCTTTCTTTGCTCTTTTCCAGAGGTAGGTCCAGGAATATTTTAAGGAAGATTGACATAACAAAGTCTAAAATTTTTATCCTTTTGCATTTTTATTTGGCATGGGAGAGAAACAAAAGCAGGCAATGGAGGTGTCTCACTGTTTGCAAAGCCTGTTCCACCAGGGTGTGTAACCAAGGTTTCAGAGCAGTGTGGGTTTCTTTGATCTGAAATAAGGTACATTTATGCCTATATATTGAAAAAGGTAAGATTGAGGAAGAAACTGAAACTTCTTGGGTTACAATCCCTAAGCTCTTGATCTAGGATTTTTATCTCCACAAACAGACTGGCACAGCAGGCTTGGTATAATGGTTGCCAGTTGTCCTTTCAATGGTTGCCTTGCCTTGCATACTGAAAAGAAGTTTGTTTTAAAATGAGAACAGCCAGCTCTTTGGTTTCTCTTTCACCCTGTACATTTCAGGCAAGGACATCTAGGTTTATAAGCATGTGTACAAAATAATTGCCTTTTTTGTTATAAGACTCTGTTATATAGTTTTGTTTATAAAACTTCTAATGCAGAAAAGGTGAGGCTACCTTCCATTTCAACAGGTTTCATGTTGACCTTTCATTTCTCAGTTAAATCAAATGATCCCATGACTTTTATGAGGTCCTCAGCTCTGATTGAATTGACTACTCTGGCCTTCAACAGTGAGAAGTTAATGAGTATCTGTGACTAGTGCAGTTTAGGGGTGTTTTTTATTCCTTCGTGTCATGTTCCACAACTGAACTGAGCCATACCCACTTTTTGCAAAAAAAAAAAAAAAAAAAAGCTTCATGGAAAGTTTATTGGATCCTGGCCATTTACTCAGATTGATTTATTTTTTAAATATGTTGCATTCCTTTATATGCTCTTGCTTCTCTATTTCAGCTACAAGAAAAAAGCAACAACTCCCCTTATTCTTGCAAAATCTATCAGCCAAAGATGCTGTATAAAACTTAGAATAAATCAGGTTTATCACAAATTGTAGGCATGGTACTTCTGGATGTGAGAGTTCACATGACTGAATGTGCTACCATGTTTAGATAAAGATATATCCCATAGAAAGGTAGTATCTTAGTGAAAATGATTGCACGTCAGTTTTTTCTCTAATACTGTGCCTTAGTTAAGAATTTTTTGGAATGTAAGACATAGAAGTGCACATTGTTATTTTCCAGATATCACAATTTATTAGGGAAACCATTTATTTATCCCTGAAAAAAATGGCTTGGGTTGAGATGTAGTTTACCACCAATGTTACCATCTTACCAAAACTAATATCATAGATATTAATGAGATTTACTTCTACACATCCCTGTACAGAACTATGTTATTAATTTCATTGAAATCCATAGGATTGATGATTAAATTATCATTAACTTATAGAACTGAATTAATTTATTAAAATTAATTCTAATTTTCATTTGTTCCTATATTTGGGTATTTTTGCCTGAGGGCAACTTGTTTGCTAGGTTTTTTTTTATTGAATTGATAAAAACCCCTTCCCTGGGGTTTTTGAATAAAATTTCGGGGGTCAGTGAGCAAGGGATGCATATAGATAAAGATGAAAGCAGAAGCAAGAAGTTCAAATTCCCCACCTGTTCATAATTATTAGATATGAGTCCAGATCAAAATTGTGTGTGTTCATATTTGCATGTATATAAGCAATGCTTTTTTTGTAAAAAAATAAATAAATAAAAAGGTGCCGGAACACACACATGTTATGCAACCCACTTTGCCTACCCTGCAAGTTTCCATCCAAAAAAAGGTGCCGGAACTCTGTTCTGGGCATTCTATGACAAAAAAAAGCCCTGTATATAAGTATATTTTGATTCCAATGCACATTTGAACAAATGGGTACATGTTTTTGAAGTAAGCATTTACTTCATACTCTTATTCCACATACCAGCAAGGCTGGTTCTAAAATGCTGACTTAGCAGCTGCCAGGTGAATGCATGCTTTGTTTTCAGTGTATTTAAAAAGTGCTCAAGCCCATTCAATTCCAGATCAAGAGCTATTTGTAGAAGAAGAATCTTACTGGTTTGGAAGGAGAAAGATTTTGCTAATCTTTCCTGCTATTTGGGAGAATTATAGATACGTAGAAATGCTCCAGGCTAGAAATGTAAGTTGGAAAGGCTGAGGAAGAAGAACAGGGAATCCAAAAGAATTAATTGTATATTTACAATGCCTGGAGGAATGTTGTCCATGGGGTCACGATGGATCGGACACAACTTCGCAACTAACAACAACGACAACAATGCAAATATTCCATCAAAAGTACAGACAAGCTCTTCAGGACAAATGGGGCAGAATTAATAAAGAGTGGAGGCATGTCTGCAGAGCAAAATAACAAGGAATTCCACAATCCTCTTCCAAAGGATTGATGAACCATTCCTTAGTGGTTAGTAGATAAGCTGCTATTTAATCGCTCTTCTTCATTCTAGCCTTCTATGGTTAAACCAAAGATTAAAAGAAATGGAACTTTCTGAGCCCCAAGACGAATCTCCCAGATGGGGTGCCCAGTGGTGAAAGAATTCAGGTCTGACTCTTTTCATGTCAAGTGAGACAACCGAGGAAGGTCAGGAGAAAAGGAAGAGAGTAAAGTGGCAGCTTCTTTTCTGATGTAGCAGCAGGTCTGATCCTTAAAAAAGTTGCTGCTGTTGAACCATTAGATTTGGGAGTTATTTCTCTTTTCTTTCCAGTCAGGATATAACCATATGTGTCTGCAGAATGTAGAATATATCCCTTCCTCTCCTGAAATACTTTTTGACATAGAAGTGATTTAGTATGCTTGGTTGACAGTCTGGTTGAGGATACAGTCAAGGCTGGGTTTTGCTCAGTTTCATTTGGTCACTTTGCTGTTTCAAGGATTCCTTCTACACTCTGGTTGATGAGTGTCCCCATTTTGCCTTTGGTTCCAGGAGAGACTTCACACTGTTTTCATTTGCTAGATATTATTCATGCTTCTTACATACATGAATTTAAAGAGAGGATGAGATCTGCATAAAAAGGGACTCTTAAAAGTGGTAGATCTGTGCTGTGTTTGATCTTAACCAGGAAGGAGAATCAGGATCTGTCAAAGAAATTTCCTAACAGTGAGAACAATTAACTAGTGGAACGGCTTGCCTTGAGAGGTTGTGGATGCTCCATCACTAGAGGATTTAAGAAGAGACTTTGAAAGTCTGGAATAGAACAGAACAGAACAGAATCTTTATTGTCACTTTAAATTTACACTAATCAGCATACACTAAAATGAAATTTTGTTGCATTCAGCTCTCAAAAAAATACTAGTATGCATATACCTATATACACACATATATATGACACAGAGAAACATCACTGTCTAGTTAGAATGTAATATACATGACGGGAAAAAAAAAGAATCCTGCGAATTTAGAAAATGGATGGCATAAGGAACAAAGCTGTTACAGAATCTAGTAGTTCTGCTATAAATACTTTGAAACTTCCTCCCAGAGGGGAGCAACAGGAACAGACCATGAAGTGAGTATGTGGGGTCTCTAATAATGCTCCGAGCTCTAAGCACATAGTGCTTATAAACAGTATCCTGAGTAACGGCAAGCGATCTTCCTATAATCTTCTCAGCTGTCCTTACCATTCTCTGTATAGACCTTCTATATGAGACATTGCTACCACCATACCAAATAGTGATAGCAGGTATAGGGTTTCCTGCTTGAGCAAGTTGTTGCACTAGAAGACCTCCAAGGTCCCTTCCAATACTGTTATTCTATTATTCCTAACTGCATGTAACTGGTTTGGTTAACAATGTGTGCAACTGCAGGTTTTTCATTACTTCTACAGATAAAGCTGTTTTGTCTGGTTAAATAGGCAGCACTATTTCCCTACTCCACCAGCTACTGTACTTCTGGGTGTGTCTACCACAGCCACTTGCTGCCAACACTGTTGTTCCCTTTCAGCACAAGCTGAGGACAAAGCTCAGTTTTTAATGTTTCTCTTCCTGCTTCACCCTATGCTCCACCTCCATGCCTGTGGCTGTCAGCCAGGCTATTTTGGGACAAGGCTTTAATACCAATAGCACTTAGACTTATATACCACTTCATAGTGATTTACAGCTCTCTCTAAGTGGTTTATGGTTTACAGAGTGAGCATATTGCCCATAACAATCTGGGTCATCATTTTACTGACCTCAGAAGGATGGAAAGCTTAGTCAACCTTGAGCTGGTCAGGATCGAACTCCTGGCAGTGGAATGCAGAGTTAGCCTGCAATATTATTTTCTAACCATTGCACCACCACTGCTCTTCCCAGAAAAGTGCTACATCTGTATTCGGACAAGGTGATTGTCAGATACTTGATTCAGATTGCTGTTGTCCCTGTAACATGTTAATTGTGCAACTTGTAGTAAAAGTAATAGCTAAAATGGCTGTTCTGGCATTTAATCTTCTCTATGCCAATCTCACTGTACACTAGGGAGAACAATTAGGACTTATTCTCTCCTCCTGATGATAGCAATAGCACTTAGATTTATATACTGCTTCACAGTGCTTTACAGCCCTCTGTAAGTGGTTTACAGAGTCAGCATATTGCCCCCAATAATCTGGGTCCTCATTTTACTGACCTCGGAAAGATGGAAGGCTGAGTCAACCTCGACCTGGTGAATATTGAACTGCTGAACTACTGGCAGTCAGCAGTCAGCAGAATTAGCCTGCAGTACTGCATTCTCCAGCATGATTGGATGGAGAACCCACGGATGGGTTGTCTTAATCTATCTGCTCCAATTAGACTAAGTCTGAAATTTAGTACCGCCCCCTCTGTGCCAACTGCACCCCAGTTTTAGACTTAGTCTCTTTGCTCTAAGACACGTTTTTCTTCGCTCCTGGAGCAGAAGACTGTGTATTCCTATTTTATTTCATCCCAACCTGTAGCCTAGCAGGCTGACAGGCTGACAAAACCTCCCTTTGGGGGGGGGGAACTTTCCCTTTCTCCCTTTGAGAGCCTTTCAGCTTCACAATCATCTTGAAAATTGGATTCC